TGCGCTCCGCCGCAGCACTGGAGCACACCTTCGCCCCTGTGATGGATGGTGCTGTTTCCACCCTCCTGGGTGTCCTCATGTTGGCTGGCTCCGAGTTTGACTTCATCCCAGCCGCTTGCTGCCTGCCAGAGGCTTTGGCAGCAGAGGCTGATGAGTGTGGCAGCCCCCTGGCTGGTGGTGGGGATGTGAGCAGCTGGTGAGGATATGTCTTATGGGGGGTACCTACCCCATCTTACATGGAGGCTGAGGAGACGTGGGGAAATTAGGGGGTGTGGTGTGGGAAGCTCTGTGGTGGCATGGGGTTCATGGCAGCTGTGCCCACTTATCCCCTCTGCCTGTGCCCCCCCAGATACTTCTTTGCAGTGCTCACCATCCTGACACTGCTGGGGCTGCTCAACGGGCTGGTGCTGCTGCCAGTCGTGCTCTCTGTCATTGGGCCACCCCCTGAGGTACAGTACCCCATCCCACCTCTCCCTGTTCCTCCCCAGCCCTATGCCCACTTCTCTCCATCCCCTACTGCCCCTTACCCTGTCCCCCCTTCACCCTATACCCATTCTTGCATTGTCCCAACCTCACCTCGTACCCACCTCAGCCCATCCTTCACCCTGTACCATCCCTGCTTTATCCCATCCTTTCCCTGCCCCATATCCAACTTGGCCCATACCTGCTTGACCTCATTCCTGCCTCATCCCATGCTCAACTCCCCCTATCCCTCCCTGACCCATTTGAACCCATCCTTGCTTCACCCATCTCTATCACTCTACACACCCCTCAGCCAATGCTCCCTGCCATCCCACACCCCTCCATCCCTGTATATTCCCAGACCCTCTGACTCTCTCCTCTCTCCCCAGGCATCCCTGCCTGCCCCCATCGGACCCAGTGCCCCCATGCCTGGGCCCTGGGGGTCTCTATGTCCGGCGTGCCCCAGCCTGGCCTGCCGCCTTCCCTGACCCCTCGGACACGGAGCACTACACAGAGGCCATGGGGCCAGGGAGCCCACGGGGACCCTTCATTGTGCCCCCAACCCCGTCACACATCCTGCTGGAGGCTGGCAAGGACCCCAGCTTCCCCCGCATCACCGTGAGTACCTCTGCCCACCATGGCATTACCATCTCTTCTGGGAGAGGGTCATGGATAGAGCCAGGGGATGAGGCTCATGGGTCTCCTGTGGTGCTGGTGGGGTTGCCAGAGGAATGCTCAGTACGGCTGGGGGTCCTCATGCTCCGTGTCCCCCCATCCAGGTGCTGAAGCCCTACAAGGATAGCCCAGAAATACAGGGAAAGAAGGAGGCTCCCAGCCTGCAGCCGGAACCACGGTGGTGCTTCGGGGAGCCG